GGGGGCGAAAAGCCACTCCCATCTGGTCACATGGGCAGCAAGCCACTCCCACAATGTACGCCACACCCACGGAGTAGGTTCGAACAGTTTTTGAAACCCACCACTGATGTGCACGCACACCATTTAAAGTTTGGTGGTTTGCAGCTGAAAAAGGCGACCCCAGATGGAGTCACCTACACGAGCCAGTTCTCCACCGGGTAAACGATGGCTTGGTTCTCCAAATCTCACACAGATCCTTTTGTACCATTCCTCATCCAGTTTTGAAAATGAGAATCGCTGCTGCAATCAAGCAGTTGCAGCGGGATCCTGGGTTTTTTCATGTTTAAATCCTTGGCACAATTGTGTTTCATGTTTAAATCCTTGGCACAAATGTCAACGGAGGGGTTTAGACCAGAGTTGGCATTCAGCAGGTTCTGACCAGTTCTGGAGAACTGGTAATGGAAATTATGAGTAGTTGGGAGAACCGGTAAATACCACCTCTGGCTGGCCCCGCCCCCATCTATTCGCTGGCTCCCAAGTCCCAGCTGATTGGAAGGAAATGGGGATTTTGCAGTATTCTTCTCCTGCCACGCCCACCAAGATACACCCATAGAAGCGATAGTAAAAAAAATTGAATCCCACCACTGGCTTGGACTTTCAATCCCATTGCATGCTTAATTTCTTCTTGATTATTGCTGAGATCACCAAATGGCATACCTACCACAGAGGTCCAAAAGAAAATAATCTTGAAAATTAAGACAAGACAATCTTTTCTACCCCCAAAATAGGAAGTCTAGACAGGGGTAGAAAAACCTGTCTTGCCTACCTCCAAATGCCATGTTATCAAGAAAGCAAGATGCCCCTCCTTTTTTTAAACAGACGAGTTATTTATAACAAACTAAACCCAAACAAAGTTAGTTTTCCTTTTAGAATCAACTAGTGCTGATAACCCGGCTTTGCCCTGATATTTATTTATAGGGGGGGAAATGTCCGGACCAATGTAATTTCTAATGTTGGATTTTCCCCCTTACCAGAGGGAGCCCCCTTGTGGAGTACTGTGAAGCCGTTACCACGGCAACTCCACTGCACTGTACAGTAGACGCCATTTTACCGCAGTACAGTAGAAGTCATTGTAAGGCACAACAGGCTGTATTGTAACAGAACACACACCCTGAGGGGTGTTACGGGTGTCTTACCCCCACCGTATTTGTCTTCAGAGAGTAAGTCATCTGTGTACCAGGTTTTGGTTGAAATTGCTCGAGGCCTTCCAGAGTTATGCTGGAACACGCACACATACACACACACACAGCCATTTTTATATAGATAGATAGATAGCTATAGTACCTACATGAACAAGTTCTCCGTTCTTGAGACCGTTTAGATCTTACAGAAGAGAAAGGGGAACTAAATGTTGCATTTTGCACAGAGCAACGAAAGCAGCAATTGATGGTAAAACCACAAGAGTGAGGGGAATCAAACTGAAGTTAGATCAGAAGGGTCATTTTTCATTTCATCTGCAAGCAACTCACCAGTTCCCATGTCTTCTATCTCATCCTTGTAGATAAACCTAGTGAGAATTCAAAAAGAAAAACTCAGGTTTTTTTTTTAAAAAAAGGCCTTTCCCTGAAGCGATTTTTTCTCTCCTTCAACAAACACACTTTAAGCTAAGTTTCCTCCGGTATCTGCAGCATGATATACCCAAAGAGTTTTAAAAAGGATCTTGGTTCAGAATGCCAGATGCAACAAATATAGAGAAGCGACCATTTCATTCCCTGGAGAAGATTCCTAATTTTCACTGCCCTGCTCTGTGCTGCCCCAAAAGTACCCCTAGTTTGGAAACTGCGCACCGCACAAATTAATCATCCTTTTAAAGGACATCTAAGAGATTTCCTTACATCTTACCAAACTTATTGCCGGTCTATGATGATATTAAGAAGAGACTAGATAACCGTTTGTCTGAAATGGCATAGGGTTGTGATGGCGAACCTGTGGCAGAGCCCTCTATAGCAATAGCAATAGCAGTTAGACTTATATACCGCTTCATAGGGCTTTCAGCCCTCTCTAAGCGGTTTACAGAGTCAGCGTATCGCCCCCACAG